GCTGCAATCTATCCTTCCGATGTAGCTTGAAATGTGGGATAGTAAGTTCACTGTCCAAGATATCTGGAGTGAGCCAAGTCTCAGCCATACCAAAGACATGAATGCCTCTGTTTGACAAGAACTTTTGCACTTCGGCTGTCTTGCGCCTGATACTACATACATTCAAGAAGGCAGTGTGCAGCATGGTCATCAGCAGGCATGGTTGATTTCAAAGCCATCGCTGACTGAGGGCGCGTGCGCATTTGTTTCCACTTCCGAAAGGGATGCCGAGTTTGCTTGCGTGTCGTCACATGCTGTGGTTTCTGTGGTATCATCACTGACATCAGAGGCAGAGTACTTGTCGAAATTCCACTGTCTGGAATAGAGTGGTCTGGGCCAGAAGCGACGATCCAACAGCGTCTTGCTGCACGATGCGTGGACTACCAGTCTCGCAGACGACGACTTTTGCTTCTGAAAAACTTTACAGTCGAGAATTTTAATAGGGGGAGTCTTCAACTCCGACGAGCGACACTCCACGAAGCGTGCTAGCTGCTCCGGTGAGGCATCGCGCAGCAGATTGCCAACAAACACAACACTTTTCTTGACAGGTTTCCTGGCTGTCACCAAACGCCAGGCAGCATCTTCACTGTCGTCATCGACGTCTGGCAAATTGGCCTCACTGACTGCACTGGCTGCATTAGCTGAAGTTTGAATGTTGGTCTTAGTCTTGGAGTTCGAATTACTAGCAGTTTGAACGTTCGACGTGACACCCACGCGTTGGTGATGATCCAGGTCACTGAGCATGAGGTCATGTCCTGGTACGGTAGGTCCGCTCTCGACTGGAATGTGACACGTGGCCGCAGCATCCTGCTGGGCCGGACCAGATGAAGTCAGTTGTAGATCTACTACGGTATTCGGGTTGGTTTCGGACTCAACGGTTGGGCAGTTAGTAGCATGGCGCCTCTTTCTTTGCGACTTGCTCTGAGCCTGAGAATCTCCAACCGTAATGGCGGAACTTCCTGAACTTGGAATGTTCAGTGCGCTTGATCTGGATAGCTCCTGAACGGTCCTAGATAGCTGGTCGATATGGCTTATCAGCCTTTTCTCACGGTCTGCAGCAGCACTTCTTTCGACATCAAGCATATCCATTATCACCGCCAGAGCGTTGTGGAAATCGCGGCAGCAGTTCGACGTGGGGAAACGATTATCTGGGACATCGCACGGCTGTTCGTGCTCATCGCTCTCTACTGCGGCCATGGTCGTGGAATCCCTGTTTGTAGACATGCTTGCAACAAAAAATCCGGGTAAGAGACCTCAAAAGTAACCTAAAAACGATACAAAAACGGGAGCTGAAAAACATGCATCCTACTCTAAAACGTTTCACTTTCGATGAAGTCACCAGCGTGCCAACGCTACACCTCCCCTCTCAAATACAATCACGTCCTCGTGATTCGAATACTACATGTAGGTGATAGCTGGACATCAACAACTGGTTGCTATTTAGGAAAAAAACTGGCGGCATGCATGGTCGCGTCGGAATAAATTCGACGATAAGAGATAAGCAGAATGGATGACTTGCATAATATAATACAGGTATAGAGTCGTGAACATTATAGTAGATCGCGATTTACTGGAAGAGCGTCAACCGGAGTATGGCAAATAATATCGGAAATGATAACGTTTGGAATAGACAGAAGAATGAACTGATAAACAAATCATAAAGTAGAAGCACACCAGGTTCACACAATCTCACGGGGTCAAAAGGGTAAAGAACTGTCCTCCAAATAGGACCTGAAAAACTACAGCACTCTTGCTGCACAACGCTGGCACAACCCGCAAGGAACATCGCAGTTCAAAAACCGAACTGAATACACTATAACTATAAGGAGCGTTGTCACACACATTGTCCCACGTTAGCTGGGTAAGCCGTGGCTCACCATGATCAGACGCCTACCAAACTAAACTGGATTCACACACTCGCATAAAGGAAGACTGAAGAGAACAGGGAGACTGAAGGAAGACAGGAAAGAAAATGCCATACCTGGAATCAGCGTTAGTACCCACGGCGACGGCTGGAGCTATGGCGGAGGGCGAGCCAGGTTTTATCTTCATCTTCGTTGAGCCGGTCACTCAGAGCGGCTAGCTCGGCGTCAGACAAAATAACCTCCCTCCTCGTCTTGAATCATGGTCTTCACATTGTCGATAGCATCGCTTTGCGCGACGTAAAGAGTGATGGTCTAGCCAGGAAGAGTGTTGACGAAAATCTGCATCCAACCACGGAGACGAAGTACCAAGTGAATAGTGGACCCCTGCTGAACGTTGTAGTCACTCAGGGTTCGGCCGTCTGCCAAATGCGTGCCGGCGAAAATCAAACGCTGCTGGTCTTGGGGAATACCCTCCTTGTCTAGGTCAGCAGCCTGCATGTCGTCGTTCTCATCAGCTTCGCCATCACCACCGGTAGTATACATGTAGGTAGCGGGTCGCTTGGAATCGCCATCGGAGTCTCCAATGGATGCCGTGCGGAGAGAAGGGTGATCCACGCTAGCACCCTGACTGTGCTGCAGGCTAATAAGTAGGGCCAAGCCCAGGAAGGCAAGAAACATGATTCTCATCTTGATTCGTCGCACGGAGCTGTAGCGGGTTGAGCCATGGGGGTCCGAGAAACGTGTAAAGTAACACAGTTAGGCATAGAATGAAACAAAATGAATTTACCGCTGCCACCAATTTGTAGGGGGCCGCAGTCTCTAGGAGGCAAAAATACAAGGGTCTCAGTGAACACACTGTAACTGGCAATTGAAATCTACTGGCAACGAAATTAACTGACAATGAAATTAACTAACTGGCTATAAAAGAATCGTGAGCAGCAGCTTTTATACAAAGGCAGACTCCGTACGCTAATGTACTGGGATACGCTAACGTATGGGGATACAGTACGGGGATATGCTATAATCTAAACACTAAACGATATAACTTATTCAGAGCTAGACAATGGATATGTAGGAAATTGCAAAAACAACAAGGCTAACTTTTCACTCTAGACTACAACAAAATACTTTTTTGAAGTCACCAGCGTGCCAACGCTACAGAAGCACCTTTATAGCAAGTACACATTCTGCGCCATGCGCCAGAGTCCAAACTAGGCGGCCAACCGGTCAGCGGCCCGCCAGGGCTGTTTACTTTATCAAGTTCTGCAAGCAACACATCCGGACTTGGCACAACAGGCGCAGCGTGTGTCTGCCGCAGAATATCACCAACCACTCAATAAGTGTGGTACCACGTCATCCATGGCTAGAACTGGCGAATCAGACTGCTCCTTCCCACAATAGCTATGCAACAGTGTGAAGTGCGAGTGCTGCATCACAGTTGTTACGCGCCCGCTGACTCTTAGCGCAATACGCACGCGCAATACATCTATGAAATAACATTTTTTGTTCCAAGAACAATGTCAAATGCAACAATACCATTCTTGTGCATGCTGAGCGGTTACACTGGTAGCAGAGGATGGCTCGACCTCCAAAGCTCCAACCACCTGACGCGTCACGAATCACCAGAAGTGAAGTTCCTCATGCTGGGTAACAAGGAACAGCTAAGGAGGTGACTGGTAGGAGTAGAGCAACGGAACGATGCAACGTACATCGAATGAAATGTGAAGAAAGTACTAATGACGTTTTACGCTCAGACAGCCTACAGGACGAGAGCTCAGAGGATACTGGATGTGACACCTAGGCTGAGGCGGAGTATGAGGGCATATTTAATGACGTAATTTGGTAGTTGAAAAATTTGAGCATAATTTGGCAGGTTTACACATTTTGCTGCAGTTAGAGTTTTCTTATATATTCTCAGATACATGTACTTGAAGTACGTGTAAGTAACCATGCTATGGGAGATGGGTAAGGTGTAACAGTGTGCGTGCGAGTGATGCATCACAGCTGTTACGCACCAGCTTACTGTTATTAGGGTACGGCCTGTGCGCAATACATCTACAAAATAACTTTTTTTGTTCTAAGAACAATGTCGAATCTAACAGCATTGTCCTTCTTTGCGGGCTGAACGGTTACAAGTTGAGCATATGAACATCTCCTGTAACTCTGACCTGAGCCAAACGTTTGCAAAACTGGCGTGGTCCATCATACCAAAGCTACCAAAGCGACCCCTATGACAAGTTCTACCCTTTCAGCTGCCCTGGATCGGTAAGATGTCCATCTTGCCATACCCCGAGACAGCCCTCCAAGTTTTTGCCGCAATCCTTTGCTGCAGCCCTACGTGTTTTAGTAAAGAAGAGAATAGTATGAAGAGCCCATACAATAAATCACCATCAATTGAATTTCTGTAGTTCCGTGGAGAGCACCTGGACAAAAATCTTCCTTGGAAGCCCCATTGAGCGGATTAAGAAGATTTTGTTGCCACCGAATAACTTGGTCATAGGCAGAGGATGACAGTAAACGAAATGACATTTGAAGTATGGTTTCTAAAAATGACGGAATAAGTACTATACTAACACACTTACAGCCCACGTCTGGAGGGTGTACCTTCCTTTGAGGGCATTGAGACAGGTGCATTATCCGACCCTTTAGCAGGGCCTTCACTATGCGGTAAGTCAACACAAAGAGGCAGCCGGGAACATTCAACATCCGGCAAAGCGCATCCACTGCTATTTTTGTGTGGTTCTCAAAAATCGGTCTACATCCTGGGGAAACCGCCGATCATAATTATCTTCCTTATTGGCCTTGGGCCATCGTGGAAATATAAAGTACTATGTTAATAAGTTGGTGGAAGGCGTGTGTGCATCACCATTTTGCTAGGTGTGTTCTCTACAATTCGAGCGCAAAATATGGACACAGCATGTTTAGATTTTCCACGCAGTACCCATGACATGTTTTTTCACTTCAAAAGCTCTACTTTGTAATGGAAAACCATGGATTCTAGAACTGGGTCCAGGCATCCAAAAATTGAGGGTAGAATGCACGTACAGTATATGTATATGCTGGAACGTACAATGTGCTGTGTTCTCTCTCGTACAGCGGAAAATCAAACCCAGACGTCATACACACTTGGGACTGTGATCGGCGGTGTTGTCGGCGGAATGTTTTTCGGGTTAATGGCAGCAACGGTGGTTGCCACAATAGTCCATCGTAAGATACAAAGCAAACCAGTGAATACCGAAGTTCTAGGTCAGACACAAAATGCAGCCTATGAAGACGCTGATATTGCAGAGAGTTCCTTCACCAAAAGTGATGCTTACGGCGTTGTAGAATCAGCCCCGCAACCACAGTATGAATTTGTCTGCCCAGAGTAACTCACTGATTTTGCGCAATTCAACATTTTCTGTAGTTTGGTGTGCTTCTTTGTGTTCCTTGCCTATTGTTTTGCCTCAGCACAATTCATCTCAGTATACATTCTTGCATTTCTACCCCATCGCAACGATTTTCTTAATAAGTTTGTTTTGCAATTCCTCAGTTTGGTGTTTAGGTTTTAATATTAGGTTTTAATAGTATTATTCCAAACGATATAGCCAATAACCACTTTGCTTTGGCGATTGCAGTGTTTTTATAACCACAACGTACTCTCCACCGCCTCCTTTATTCTCATTCTATCTTTGGATTATGTTATTCTGGGAGCGTGCTCCCAACGAATTCAGGGATTGACTTTCAACCGTAGCTTTTTCCCTTGCTGCTCAAAAGCGTTCATTTTAAATCTATGCCTTCAACTCACGTTGTCCTCAGCGGAGCACACAACTCATGCATAGCTAGGCTCATCACACTCCCACAACTACCCCCAAACAAAATTATCCATTAATCGCCTTTTCCACGGTTATTATCGGTACTTAAAATGTAGATTGTTTTCCATCAAGTAAAGTGTAACGTTGTTTCTCCTTTTCCAATTTTCTCTGATCTACTTCATGATGCATACGCACACGTCACCTCGTCCTTTCCTCTCATTGTTTATCCCGCGATTTTTTTCTCACTTTTCTCGTATGAAGCTGGTTTATACAAGTAGTTCTATCCTTTTTCCAGGTGTGTTTTTCCAAGTACACGTAAAAAAGAATATGATTGATGAATAGGGCTTTTGGGATTTAAATAAACAGAACCAGTCGAAGCGTCATCTCATGAAGGGTTTATTGAGATGTCATGCACATACTCTTGAGAAACTGGTGACGGACAAAGAAATAGTAGTAGTAGTAGTAGTAGTAGTAGATTTTATTATTTTACTAGGGGAGTCCCAACAGGCGTTGCCTTTTTACTGGGAACCCTAGGTGAATTTTTACCATGTTTACATACAGAGTAAGAGACGGGGCCTGACGGCAGTCAGTGGGAAGAGCATTCCATCTGTCTGCCGCCAGGAAAGAAATAGAACGCATGCCATATTGCGTAGAAACAGGCGGAAGAACTAATGCGCGCTGTGCCTGGCCGCGCGTGCGAGCCTGGTGTCCAGGCACAGCAGCCCTAAGCTGGAACAAGGATTGGAGAAGGGGACTAGCAAGATGTGGGGTCAAGCAGCGGTACACGAAAACATAGAGTTTAAGATTTGTGCGCTGTTCAAAAGAATAGAGATGATATTTGCGGAGAACAATTTCAGTAGACATCATACGGTCAAACCCAAAAACTTTCTTCATTGCTATGTGACTGACCGTCACGATTTTATTGAACAGGGTGGCGCTGAGACAGTGCAGATAAGCGTTACTGGCATAGTCGAGAGTCGATTGCACAATGGATAAATAGAACGTCCTCTTCGCTTCAGGTGTTAGGTTTTTTCGGCCATGTCTGAAGGCGGCAATCTTGCCGAACACCGCACCGCAGACCTTCTCGACTTGCGGCTGGAAGGTGAGATGCTCGTCGATGAGTAGTCCGAGATACTTCACGGTGGCTGCAGGGGTGAGGGGCTTGCCTTTACAAACTAGGGGGATTGGTAGATGCGGCACAGGTTGGCGTGGGCGCCGAAGGACCAGGAACTGCGTCTTGTCAGGGTTCATGAGAAGTCCTTTGTCATCAAGGTAGAGCTCCAGAGCGCTAAGGTCATCCTGAAGCTTTCGCAGCATGACAGAGAGGTCCGTTCCAATGACGAAAAAGGCGATGTCATCGGCATAGAGCTGAGAAATACTGTTCCGAACAATCTGTGGAACCTTGCGGATGTAGACGCAAAAGAGGAGGGGGCCAAGGACGGGCCCTTGCGGAACTCCCCTGGTGCAGGGCACAGTCCCACCACGCTCCCCATTGACCACGACTTGTTGACTTCTGGAGGACAGATAGTCCGCGAACCACTTCAGCACCGAGCCGCCTAGCCCTACGTCAGCCAGCTCGTTGACCAGTTGTTGATGCTGTACACGGTCGAAAGCCTTGCTCATATCTGCGAACAGTATCGCGCATCGCTGGCCATTGTCCAGTGCTCTTGTCCACCTGTCTATGGAAACAGCGAGGGCATCTTCGCAACTGTGCTTTGGACGGTACGCAAACTGCTCCAGCGGCAAGGCGGACAGCTCTGGGTGGTCACGGAAGAATTCAGTAATCTGCCGGTGGACAACCTTCTCCAATATCTTGGAGGCAACGGGCAGCAGAGATATTGGCCGGTAGTTGGTGGCTGCAAGTTTGTCCCCGGACTTGAAGAGTGGGCACACGTGTGCATGCTTGTAAGAGGCTGGAAAAACGCCAGAAAGTAGGGACTGATTGATTATGGATGTTAGTGAGGCCGTGATATTTGCTTTGCATGACTTTAAGATGCAGGGAGGAATGCCATCCGAACCCGCGGCCTTGTGGGAGTTTAGAGTAGTCAGTAGAGCCTCAACTGTTTCAGTGTTGACCAAGGTGAAGTCAGTCAGGGTGCTAGGTGCTGTCGGATCCCTGTCGGCTGGTATCTGCAACACTCCTGGCCTGGCTGGGTCGTGGACAACTGCCGCAAATGTTGCAGTGAGTGCTGGAAGTGGCGCTGCAGGGGTGGATTTCGTGGTGGCTCGACCAGAGAGCTTATTTAAGAGACACCACTGGCCTCTGGGGTCACGCTTCATGTTTCTGAACTGTTGCATTAGGAACTCCGACTTCAGGCGCCTGTTCAGAAGTGTCCCTTCCCTTCTCACTGCCCGGTACCGTTGCATTAGTTGTTGATCAGAGGGACGTGACCGAACCTTTCTGTGCAAATGCTTACGCTGCTGTAAAAGATATCGCAGGTGAGGAGTCAGCCAGGGTTGAGGTTTGGGTTTGCTGAAGGATGGTACGCAGATGCGACGGACGGGGCAAAGTTTGTCGTAAGTTGACGTGAGGACGGCTGTTAGGCTGTTCGCCAAGATATTTACATCTGTTGCAAGGGGGAATGACGTCAGTTGTTCGTCCACGGTTCGGCATAGAGCGTCCCGGTCTATTTCTGTGGCGCTCGGCTTCCTGATATTGGTGTAGAGTGGACAGGTAGACATGGTTGGATATGTTAGGTGGGTTATAACTAGGTCGTGGTCGCTGATACCGTCCACAGGGTGCACTGCTGTCTGTGTAAGCTGGACTCCAGTGGAAACAAGTACCAAATCGATGCAGGTCTGCCCATGACGAGTGGGAGCAGTGACAACATTCCTGAGATCAAACTCGCAGCACATATTCCGGAGATGTTTGTAGTGTCCACTGCGAGGCTGCAGAACATCCGTGTTCAGGTCACCGAGGACAATAATGTTCGAAAACTGACGTAGAATGTTGTCGAGTTGAAGGCTGAAGAGTTCCCAGAACTCGACCTTTGCGTTGGGTGGACGGTACACGCTGCACACAACCAGCTCGTTGGATTTGGGTTTGGAAGACGGTATGCGAACACGTACAAATATGCACTCCACTCCCGGTATACATTGCGTTGGGGCAGGAGAGGAAACAAGAGACGCGTGCACATACATGCATACTCCTCCGCCATGTAGATCTCTGTCTTGTCGATACAATGTGTAGCCAGGAACGTGTAAAAGAGAATCGGGAATGCTGCTGTCCAGGTGTGTCTCGTTAATGGATAGAATGTGAATTTTATGATCGTGCAAGAGTTTGTGAATATCCTGAACCTTATTTCTGAGACTACAAATATTTATAAGAGCTAAAGTGACATTACGACAAGTATTAGTGTGAGCAATGATCCGGTGGCTTACCGACGAGGTGGTAGGATTTGAGGGACTCCCAGGACGATCCTATTGCGTGCCCGGATGTTCCAGTGCACCCCTGTCAGCAGAGCCTCGTTCCTGCAGGAGGTGTGTGATCTGCTGGGGGGTGTACGGTTGGTACGTTTCGTCGAGAATCTCGTCGTACGGCATTGAGCACTTCACGCCTCTACGTCGAAGCTCCTTGTAGCTCGTCACGTTGTTCTTCCTGGCTGTCTGTTGCTGTCGTGTCAGGTCATTGGCCATATATATGGGAGTTCCATCTTGTAGTTTGAGGTTGAATCGTGTACGGTATACGGCAGACTTGCTGGCTTGGCTTTTGAATTTGATCCGTACAGGACGGGGACCTCGAGACCGCTCAGTTCCAATCCGTTCTGCGTGCGCGACTTCATAGGAGTCTATCTTCAGGATCCGGATGCAGTCGTCAAATAGGCTGTCGTCCGCTTCCGGGATGCCGCGAACAATGGCGTTGTTGCAGCGCTGTTGACGGTCAACTTCTTCCTGCACCAAAGCAGCAAAGTTGACGACGTTGCACGTGCCAACAACCCCTTCCGGGGGCGGCATGTCCTTTTCACCGTTCGTAGATCTACGGTACGCTGCCGTACCTGTACTCTCAAGACGAGTAAGGCGAGCCTCGAAGATGTCCAGCTTCTCCTTCAATGCCCGATTTTCGGCCATTACAGCATCGATCTTGGCCGAAAATTCCAATGACATGACATCGAAGCGCTCCGTAAGAGCACGTTGCTCCCGCAGGATGTCAGAGAGGAGACTCTGAACACTGTCCTCTCCCTTGGCATTGCTATCGGTCTCCAGGGACACTTGCGCGCGAATCACGTCAGGTGGTGTGCTGGCTTGCGTTTTTCGGCTTGTTGCTGACAGCTTGGATGGCGTGGACTCAAGGCTGGGACTGCGCCTCGCTGGAACCTTTGCGGCAGCCTTTGCGGCAGCACTTCTATAGGTTTGGGACATGACAGAACAGACGTGGAGTCAAAATCACGCCTGGTTCGCCAAAAATTCCGGAGCTTCAAAAAATGCAACCAGTCGGCATTCCAAATCCAGGATGAATAAAACGAATGTGATGGGAATATAATGTGAAGAACAATAATAGGAACATACAAATAATCTTACGAGGAGATAATATTTTTAATATAGCTATGAATAGGATGACAGCCGCAGACATCACACAACTACGTTACTTGTTCGACGTGTATGTGTATTTTTGTAACAATAATAATGAAATCCAGAATCGATTTTCTCGTTCCTATTATCAGTGGGGAAAATACGTAAATAAAGGATACAAAACAATGAAACTGAAGCTAAGTAGTGGAAAGGTGGTTTTATTGCACTTGTATTACGATGTTATTAATTTGGCATTTGGTTTGTATCCTTTAGTTCCGTGTTTTCCCCACTGATGATAGGAACGAGAAAATCGATTCTGGGTTTCAATATTATTGCTATACTTCAAAATACACACACATGTCGAACAAGTAACGTAGTTGTTTGATGTCTTCGGCCTTCATCCTATTCATAGCTATACAGTCGTCCCTCTCTAATCCAGCATTTTATAATCCAGCACCCTCGATAAACCAGCACAATTTTCAGTAGCCAAAATGTCCTCTTCATGCATGTTCTAGCAGAGAATCAGATTTGTTCATCCAGCACCCTCCCTAATCCAGCAGATTTCCGTGGCACAAATGGTGCCGGATTATAGAGGGACCACTGTATTAATAAAAGGAACGATGAGAAATATGTTACCGTACTCGCGCGATTAGAGCCCTCTCTTGAATAGTGCCCCACGAGCTTGTAATCAAGCGCAAGTGCACGTTTCATTTTCGTTCGCTATTGTTATTGTCCTTGCCGTTGCACTGGTCGTTTGAGGAT